CTGCAGAGGCAAGTCCAGAGCCTGCTAATGTACAGAAAGCTGAGCCAGCTCAGCTGACAACAGAACCAAAAGTTGAAGCAGCTGCAGAACGCTCTCCCCAAATTAATTCAGTAGCCAAAACAGAAGCCAAGGCAGAATCAGTTCCTGGATTTCCAAGACCTCTTTCTCCATATCCATATGTAATTATCACTTCATATTGCTCCTTAAACTCTCTGCATTGCTAATTTCCTTCCTCTCTTTTAACAATTAATGCACTGCACAAACACTTACCTTTCTCTTTTTTTTATTGCAGTACCCAGACTTAAAGCCTCCGACATCTCCCTCTCCATCACAGCCATAGTTGTGCACCGAAATCCAACTTGGATTGTTGATCTCTAGTTTCTACCACAGATCATTGATTGGTCGGGAATCATATAAAGCTATCCAGTGAATTGTGCAGCCTATGTGATCCTAACTGAAATTTTCCAGGTTGCATGATGACTTGGGTTGAGAAACTAGTAACAAGAGGGGGAGAAAACAAACAATTCTCTCACAAAGTGGATGATAATGTAGTTTGCCAAAACCATCCTGTCTGTTGTATGCAATGGATGCTGTATTATTCACATTTCTCTAATTTCTTGGTAGATCCAATCGAACAATTTCCTGGAAAATGCTAGTAAGTCACAGAATAGGTATGTTTATGTTGGACCCAAGGAAGGAACATACTTACATGATATGTTATAGATTTCTGATGTTGTAACTTGTCCATTCTACTTGGCCATGGCGGAATGGAAAAGATCTGTTTCCTAATTTTTCCCTTTCGCTGTTCCTCTCCATTTCTCCAGGATTGGATGATTTCTGGTTTGATAAGTTTATTCCTCAGTTCGGGATTGTATTATTATCCCTTTACACCTGGTCCAGGAATTTTTTCAGAAATATGCAGTTGTCCAGCTAGCAGACATGTCGAAGAAACAGATTAGTAATTGCTAAATGAAATTTATTTTTTGGGGTGGGGAATTGGAGAGTGGAAAGCGAAAAGCGAAAAGGGAAAAGCAATGGTTCAAAACTATTTGATTCTTAGAAAG